CCATCGGGCCATCTTCTATCCCACCCTTCTTCCTCCGCCCCATCTCCCCGGAGGTGGAGCTCGGCCAGGGGCCAGGGACGGAGGTGGGACCGGGGAGCTGCTGCTTCTGCAGGTGGTCCCTGCCGGAAGCGTTCCTGGAGCGGGGCCAGCCTCTGTGCCACTGGAGTAGAGGCCGCCTCCCTTTTGGGAGAGAAGTAAATCTGGCTCATCCTCCCAGGCTCAGCCTCTAGGCTTGGAGGGTGGGGAAACTGGTGTCGGCCCAGGACGTTAGTTAAAAGCATGGGCTCAGAGGTTAGAAAAACCTGGGTTCCAATGCCCACCCTACCAGGCTTACATGTCTCCAATGCCTTGGAGAACTTAGTCTCTCTATGCCTCAGTTTTCTCATCTGGAAAATGGAGAAATAATATCAATCTCAAAGTCTTGATTTGGAGATGCAGCTATAATTCTTTTCTAAAGCACATAGCCTGGAGCCTGGCAGTCCATAACTGGTTTTTCTTGCTGTCACCATCATCCGACTGCCAGAATCTTGGGGAGGATATTATTCATGCATTCATTCATTCCATGCAAATTGTTATATTAAGCTCCTATATGGTGCCTGGCCTGTAGATGCACGCACTGGAGACAGAGGGACAGATAAGTCCCAGGGTCCTTCAAGGAGCTGAGATGATAAAACATCATGTTCTTACCAACAGATAATAGAAGAAGACATGAAAGACTCCAAGAAGAGAAAGGATCTCTTTGAGTCTTAGCAAAACTTACATAATTAGGTCAGGGCTTAAAAAAAAAAAAAAAAAGTAATGTCAGGTAACAAGTTTCCAGAGCAAGGTTTTCAAGTTGAGGGTCCCAGGTCACCTGCACGCAAATCACGAATGTCTATTAGGAAATACCTCAGTCCATGTGGTCAGAATCTCTGCGTGTGGTCCTCGGATGCTGTATTTTAAGGGGCCGCAGATGATTCCTGCTCATGCTAAAGTTGAAAACCACTGGCCCATAAGAAAACGCCTCTGCCCGTCTGCCCCAGCACCTCCCCCAGGGCTAGTCCTTCTGGGGGGGGGGGACATAGTGCTTTGTGTTCTGATTTAGAGTTACCTGTGGCAATTTTATGTTCCCACCAGACTCTGAGCTCTTAAAGCAGTGCGCTCTATGCCTGCAGAACCTATGACAAGACCCAGCTGTTATTAGGCATTCTGAAACGATCCCAGAATGAAGAAAGTGCCCCTTTCTAGTGTCACTTCCATAAATGCTCCTGTGGTCCCTACTTGGATCCTCAGACAGATCTTGTTATGTGGGGGTGTGTGGGGGGGGGGGGGGGGGGGGGCGCATGTGCATGTGCATTTTAATGGTAATTTAATGCCACAGGGATAAGCATGGGGCATTTGCTCTCCAGTTTACCTCTGTCCCCATCTGCCCCTTTATACACCCAACTAGTTTACTTTCCTGGACTTGCTTTGGACAGAATCGAAGTGTGCAAATCCTATAAAGTATAGAGTGTTCATGGCTCTCCTTCTCATTCTTTCCCGTGTGGTGTTTACTTCATCTCCTCTCTCTCCAGGGCCTTCTCAGAAAGACTGGTCCCTAAGGATGGGTGTCACCTTACTGCTGGCTCTGTGGAGCTGGGAATAGAACTTCTTGAGGGGGAAGGATGAGGAAAACCCGAGGAACACAGCTTACCTGATGCAGGAGTGGTTTTTGATTTGTGATCCTAATGCCTGCGGGTGCTGGAACAGGGGCTGGTGAGCTGAAGTTCAGCACTGGAGGCCTAAGGGGGCCAGTTAATCTTGCTCTGGCTCTGACCCCTGCCTGACCTCGACCGTGGCAAGCGTCTCCCAGGCCCCTGAGGGGACAAAGTGGGAAAGGGTGGGTGTGGACGGGCCTGTCCTTCTGTTTCTGAGGGTTCAGCTTCATAGACAACTAGGGAATGATGAAGTGAGTGTGGGTCTCAGGGCACCGTGGGGTCAAGACAAGTTACACATTTTTCTCCCTGGAAGATCCACCATCCCCATGTTTCTTCCCCCCTTTTGCCTTCCTGCACTGGGCAGAGAACAAGAATGAGTGATCCTAAACACTGGTGAAGTGATAAAATAATGCTGCTTTCAGCTTCTGGGAAGTTACAGGTCCTTGGAAAGAAGCTCTTGACTTACTCAAAATGTGTTTCATTAAAAAAAAAAGATTTATTTATTTTAGAGAGAGACAGAACAGGAAGGGAGGGAGGGGCAGAGGGAGAGGGGGAGAGAGAGAGAGAGAATCCACAAGCAGACTTCCTACCGAGCATGGATCCCAATGCACTGGGCTGGGCTCCATCCCAGGACCTTGAGATCATGACCTGAGCCCAAACCAAGAGTCGGCCCACCTAACCAACTGAGCCACCCAGGTGCCCCCAAATGTGTTTCATGTAAATTAACCAGAATGGTAGTATTTGGCTGGAGCTGGAAGTACATATCATCTAGGCCAGCCCTCTTCTTCTGGGTAAACTGAAGCCCAGCCAGGGTCACATAAAGCCCAACATTAGAATGCTGTCTAAATCCCAGCCCTCCGAGGGCCACGTTCTGGTGTGCATTCTGTGTTTCAAGAATCCCACCAGCCTTGCTCTGTGTCTTGAACCTACACTGTCTCCACCGCAGAGCAAGCTTGCAGCCCATTTCCTGCAGTGGATTTCAGAATGGTGACTCCGTGAGGGCAGGGATGGGGTCTGATCCACATCTGTGTCCTGGTCCTCTGCATGGAGTCTGGCACCAAGCAGATGTTGAATGAAGGAAGGACAGCAGAGAACCAGTTTGTACCGTCAGACCGACCATTCTCCAAGGAGATTACTCAGGCCACTTTGGCTCCCACATGCTTTATCTTTAAGGTGAGAGAGGAAGAAGAGAGGAACAAAGATTTATTTCCTGATTTCAATGTGCCAAGCACTGTGCCAACTGCTTATTTCAGTGCATTGTTCACAGCACTCAGTGGAGGAGAAACTATTTCTCCATTTGACATATAAGGAGACTACACTACAATAAGATATGAGACGGCTGGTGGCATCTTGGTCAGCAAGAAGCAGAGATGCATGCTGAATCTGAGAGCAAAGCCTGGGCGCCAAGCATCAGGTTGTGAGGTTTGCTGAGCACTAGGTACCGTGCTCAGTGCTTTTCTTTCTCCTGTAGTTCCAAACTCCTTCACCAGAACCCAAGAAGGCAAACAGTAGGGCAGCTGCCATTTTACAGTCAAGGAAACCCAGGCTCGGAGAGGTTTAGAGGGGCAGCCCTTGGTCTCTGGCCCCTGGGCTGAGTCCTCTTCCCCAGTTAGAGGACAGAAGATGGACAGGGAACCAGGCAAGGGGGCTGGCTGCGTGCGATACAGAGAAGAGATTGGCAGGACCTGCGTGTGGGGAGCCCAGACCTAGGCAGGATTTCCTCTTAGGCCAACGGCTGGCCCCTCCACACACAACCACCATGTTCACGTCTGGGAAACCGGGCCCACACCCGCGGGCGCACAAGGCCTAGCCCTCAGGCTTGTGAGAACTCTGAAACACAAAGGCCACTCCGGGGCAGAGGCGGGGTCGGCGTCAGAGGCTAGGTGGGCTCCGCTGGGCGCCCAGGGCTCTGCTCCGAACCCCGGAGGGCGGCGCTGCCGCGGTACCAGGACTCCCCATCCATTATTCACAATGTTTACTAGCGCGGGGGAAGGAGAGGGAAGGCGAGGGGATCAGAGCAGAGGGGAGGCGGGGGCCGGGCAGTCCGGTCCCCGAAACTTCGGGAGGACGACAAAGTGCAGAATTATGAAGAGCCTGGGAAGTCAGACGTGGTGCCTAGCACACAGTAGGCCATCAGTAAATATTCGTGGAATGGATAACGGAAGAGTGAGTGAATGGCTCTGCTCCCAACCAGCTCTACTGTCTTGGGCGACTCACTTAACTCCTCTGACCCTCGTTTTCCTCAACTTAAAACAGAGTAACAGTACCGACTCCGTAGGGTGTGAGGATACCGCGAGCTAAGTCTCTAAACAACCTAGCAAGTATTAGGAGCTCAAAAATGGCAGCTATTGTTCTGGGGGAACGGGGCTTGTAAGCGTTGGCAGCCCAGCAGAAGTGTACTGACGGACTCCCAAGGCGGGGGTGGGCAGTCCTGACATGTTACTAAACAGTACTCAGTAAACTTCTTTAGACTGGCGGGTTGAGGATGGGAGGGGGGGAAGGGGACCAAGTTATCTTTTTCTAGAGAAGGCAAGCAAGAACTGCCAGCGTGGGGAGGAAGCCTCAGGCCTCCAGGACCGGGCAGGCATTTACTTCCCCCATTTCCACCCCGCCGGGCGATTGAGGTCACCTGGGGCTCGTTCTGGCAGCCCCTCACCCTCCCTGGAGCCCGTCTGGGTGCTTGGAGGCGCCTCTTCGCTGAGCCGCGGGCCGGACACTGGTGGACCGCTCGGGCGTGGGGCCAGGAGCGCCCTGGAAATGGGCAGTTTGGCGGCAGCCTGGCCGACAAGGGGCGTGTGTGTGTGTGTGTGTGTGTGTGTGTGTGTGTGTGTGTGTGTAGTAGGGTCAGCTTCCTGGCCCCGCTCAGCCCGGGGCTGTCCTTCGATCTGGGCAGTGCGAGTTGGGACAGGACAGAGAGGTTTGAGACTTTGGGGGGAAACAAGTCCACGAAGAAGAAGAAAGAATCCGGAAGGCCTGCCGCCCTGGAGCCAGGCGGGGCGGGGCGGCCGGGAGAGGCCAGGCCGGGCCCGGGTATAAATGCTGTGGCGGGGGTGGCCGTGGCGGGCGCACAGAGGCGCGCCTAGAGCTGCTGCCTGGCCTCGCCTCCCGGGCCGCCCCTGCGAGTCCCGGGCGCGTGAGCACGCCTGCGCGCGCCCGGGCCCTTCCTGGCAGGCTGCTTGTAAGATGAGTGAAGAAGCAGGTGGGGGAGAGGGGAGGCAGCGAGCGAGAGGGCGAGGGGAGCGCGGGCGCTGAGCGGCGCTCACTTGGAGCGCGGCGAGCGAGCGAGAAGAGCCTCATCCATGTCCCTCGCTGCCTCCCTGCCAGGCGCGCGAAGATGATGGCCATGAACGCCAAGCAGCCTTTCGGCATGCACCCGGTGCTTCAAGAACCCAAATTCTCCAGCCTGCACTCCAGTTCCGAGGCCATGCGCCGAGTCTGTCTCCCAGCCCCGCAGGTACGTAGTGGAGCATAATTACCGCTCTAAGGCACATTTTTTGACAGGCGCTAGCTTCATGTTTTTTTCATGTCGCCCAGAACAATCGCCGCTGTCTGAACCCCTCTCCTTGTCTCCCCCGCGCTCTCTCCCGGCGCGCTCTCTCTCTCATTCATGTCCCTCTGATCCACACGTCTGTTCCAGCAGAGCCTCTGTCTCCGTATTAATTTTTATGACCTGGGCTTTGAGGAGAGGCATCTCGGTTGCTTGAAAATGTGTTTTAATCCTGAGTTGACAGTATTCCCCACTGACCGTGCTGTGCGCCTTCTCGCTTGCAGCTGCAGGGTAATATATTTGGAAGCTTTGATGAGAGCCTGCTGGCACGCGCCGAAGCTCTGGCGGCGGTGGATATCGTCTCCCACGGCAAGAACCATCCGTTCAAGCCCGACGCCACCTACCATACCATGAGCAGCGTGCCCTGCACGTCCACTTCGTCCACCGTGCCCATATCCCACCCGGCCGCGCTCACCTCGCACCCGCACCACGCCGTGCACCAGGGCCTCGAGGGTGACCTGCTAGAGCACATCTCTCCCACGCTGAGCGTGAGCGGTTTGGGCGCCCCAGAGCACTCTGTGATGCCGGCGCAGATCCACCCGCACCACCTGGGCGCCATGGGCCACCTGCACCAGGCCATGGGCATGAGTCACCCACATGCCGTGGCGCCTCACAGCGCCATGCCCGCATGCCTCAGCGACGTGGAGTCGGACCCCCGAGAGCTCGAGGCCTTCGCCGAGCGCTTCAAGCAGCGGCGCATCAAGCTGGGGGTGACCCAGGCGGACGTGGGCGCGGCTCTAGCCAACCTCAAGATCCCCGGCGTAGGCTCGCTCAGCCAGAGCACCATTTGCAGGTTCGAGTCTCTCACTCTCTCACACAACAACATGATCGCGCTCAAGCCGGTGCTTCAGGCCTGGCTGGAGGAAGCCGAGGCCGCCTATCGAGAGAAAAACAGCAAGCCAGAGCTCTTCAACGGCAGTGAGCGGAAGCGCAAGCGCACGTCCATCGCGGCGCCAGAGAAGCGCTCACTGGAGGCCTACTTCGCCATCCAGCCGCGGCCGTCGTCTGAGAAGATCGCGGCCATCGCCGAGAAACTGGACCTTAAAAAGAACGTGGTGAGGGTCTGGTTTTGCAACCAGAGACAGAAACAGAAACGAATGAAGTACTCGGCTGTCCACTGACTGCGGCGGGGCGCAGCGTCCAGGTCCGGGAGAGCTGAGTGTACACCACCCCCCGGAGTTGGGGAGGGGAACGGTTATGGGGGACACCAAGAAGTTTCCTGGCAGGTCAGGCTCTCTGCCCCGAAGCCACAGACTTTCCCCTTTATCCCACCTGGTTGCCTCCCGGCCTTCTCTTTCTCTTCTTTCCTTTCTGTTCCCACTAGAAACGTTACGGCGCTAAGGAAAAATCCGTCAAGGGCAGGCCTGGAGGGACTAGCGCTGTCCCTGGTGCTGAAAATCGCCCTTCCGCGCTGGGCTGCGCGATCTCAGGGCAGGAGCCCACATGCGGGGGATAGTGAGTTGGCCCGGCCGCACGACTCTGTGGGTGAAGGCGCCGCTTTGCTAAGCGCGATTAGACAAAAGGTGAAGGGATGGGAAGGCAGTGATAAATAATAATACAAAGTCTAACTGGGGCACAAACATGTACTGGAGATTTATTTAGAGTATATAAAATACATGTATGTTTCCAAAGGATAGCCTTATACTCCTTTACCCTCTTAAATTTTATCCGTCTCATCCTTTGGTTTGTTGTAAGTTCTCTAAGGTAGCATGGATTAGGTTCAGGGAAAGTGTTCGTGGAGTTTTGAGGTCCCAGCTGTTCTCTGTGGTAAGTCGGGCCCCAGAAAAGATGGGCGCAATTCAGCACCTGAAAATGCTGGGATCGCACCTGGTGGCAAGCAGCAGCTGACTGCTCTGGCCCATTCTCCCCAAACTGATGGTGTTTGAGGGGATAATTACTGCCTTCTGGAGAGCCAGGGGGATTGGTAGTGCTCCGGACCAACTGAGGACTCTCTGACCACAGCTCGCTGCTCCAGCCACATTCCCAGCGCAGCGTAGAGGTGGCTTTTCAAAAGTAATTGTAACTTCCCTGAATCATATGCAACTCCTTCCAACACGTCTAACCTCGTTGTGATTTTATTATTGTTGCTAGCATTGTTATTTCCTATTATTTATTTAACTCTGCTTCTTTCCATTCCCCCTTATATGGGTGTCTCCAGGTGGAAGTCCACTTATGGTTCTGGGTGGAAAGAGGAGCCAGACTGCTGGCCTGGACCCTTCTCACCCACATTCCTCTGGCCCTATCACATTTTATCTTTCTTTGCTTCATGTAATTTGCGTGTGGCTGTGTGACATTTGGTTTTGTTCTCCAAATAGATACAAATAAAATATTGAGTTTTCTTCTCTCTTTACCCCTTGAATTAACTTCTAAAATAAATGCTTTATTTTTCAACCCGAATCACAGTGCTTTTCTTTCTCAGAGGCTAAGAAGTACTAGTTTTGGAAAGGATTTAAAAGTGAGAACCCATACGGGCTGGGTTCTCACTTCCAGCAGGCCAGTGTCTGGCCATCTCTCTCCTCTTCGATGCAGCCTCACCTTCTCACTCTGATCTCCTTTAGGGAGATCTGGCAGCTCTCCTCCGGACCTCAGGGTTACAAGGCACTTCCCAGCAGGCTTTCGCGCTTGCGAATCTATCAGCCTCTGTTCGCTCAACTTGATTCAGACCATTACAAATTTTGAGACCAGACTGATGGGAGTAGGAGCCCCCAATACTTCCACCCATTGGCTGAATAACCTGGAAGCCAGTTTCTTGCCTTTTCTAAAAGGCCTCGATTGCTTGTCTTCAGGATGAAGAGGCAAATATTTACCCCACACGTTTATTGTCAAGATTAAATAAAATTGTTTATTTAAGGCATCTGGTAGTGCTTTGTGCTTGAGATGAAACATTATTTCAGAAGATTCAAACGGCTGGATAGGAAGTGAGTGGATAGATGCAAAGAGGGAGGAAAGTGTTCTTTACTGGGACAGAGTCGGTTGGGGCCCCTCTGAGGTCGTTTCAGAAACTTAATTAAAACTATCACCCAATAACTTACTCACCCCAAGGTCTATCTCGTCTTCTCTGTGGGTTTGAATGATAAATCTGCTGCAAACATCCTAGCATAGTGCCTTGCGCACAGTAGGTGCTCAACAAATGGCAGTTACCTTCTCTCTCACCCCCTTTAAAAGGGGGAAGAAACCTTTTTGTGAGCCGCAGAAACACCTTCACGACTTAAAAATTAAAGTTCCAAGTCTAGGAGTGGTCAGCACATTTTCCCTCTGTGTCTTCAAAGAGCAGTGGGTCATCACCTCTGGCCTGAAATTCGGAACAGAGTCGTCTCCCCTCGGCGCGGTGCACCCCCTATGCTGCACAAGCAAACCTGGGGATTGCCCCCAGCCCCTGGGCCGTAGCCCCTCGCCCCCGCCTAGCGCAACAACCCCAGCGATGCCTCCACCTCCTTCTCCATCGGGTGTCCTTTAATAATAAATGCCCTATGCCATTACATTATATTGTGGGTTTTGAAAATTTAAAATACGGCTGATGCAATATTAATTGCCTATGGTGGTATAAAACACGGCCGGAGCCCAGCCGGGCTGCAGAGGAGGCGGCCGTGAGCGTCCCGCGCCGAAGTGAAGCGCTCCAGACAGACGCGCCTTTGCGGGCTGCGGAGTTTCCTGCAGGTAAGAGCCTTCAGCTTTTCTGGCTCGGGAAAGAACCCGATATCCGTCTCCATCTCCTTTCTGAAAAGTTCCCTGCTGTTATTATATACATAATATATAAAATATATATTATATGTATATAATTTAAATTAATAACCTCAAAAGTTTGGAAGACTTTTTTTTTTTTTTTTTTTTTTTTTGAGAGGGAGAGATGAGCCGCCCGAAAGTTAAGATCTGCTCTGTAACTGGCCTGGTTGGGTTGTGAGTCGACCCACCCCTCTGTGACTGGTCCGCCTCAGGCGCCCGGGGTGCCCTCGCGCACTGGTATTTTGACCAGTTTCTACCTGAGGGCCAGGGCTGCTGCTTGGTCCACGACGCGCCCCACCCTCTCCCACCCACTGAGGGCGCCGGCCAGGCGCCGCTGCCTCTCTCCTTGGGCTCTCTCAGGAAGCAACGGGAGCTGCGGTTTCTCTGGAATTGTGCAGTCGCCTCTGAGAGGCCGGGGCACAGACCTCTCAGAGAGTGGAGGGTGGGTTGGTACCAGCCGGTTTGGGGTTCACATAGGCCTCGTTTGCATCCTGGTGGGCCATTTCCTAGCCGTGTGACCTTGGGTAAGTCACATCACCTCTGTAAGCTTCTCCTGGTGGCTGCAAACCCTTACAAAAATAATTTTGAGGAGTAACTGAAAAACACTCCGGAACAGATTTTCCATTCCAAGATACCACCAATTTGAAGAATTCACTGTCCGGGCCCAGCTGGGAGTTTCTTTAAACTTAGCCAAGAGAAGGGGTGGTGGTGGCAGGCAATGTTCAGGGCTGTTTGTAGGGAAAGCTGCATTGGGCCTTTCAAGGTGGGATTTTGAGAATCATCTGTGGAGTAAGGAGAGGATTCTAGGCACTTGGCTGTCTTGAATTAGGGTCTGACCGGAATGGGCCATGAATGCAGAAGCCAGCATGGTTGAAACCATGGGCTCCTCCTGAATCCTGGGCTCCTGTGTGATCTCTGTCCAGGAGCTTCCTCTCTCTTTGTGCTCAAGATAGTATCAGTTTTGTTCACTGTTTTATACTCAGTGCCCAGCTCAGGATCTGGCCCAGAGTGGCAGACAATAGGTATCTGTGAAATGAATGAAGGAATGAAGGAATGAGGTTTTTGTTTTATAAAATGAAAGGACCCCTTCCAGCCCAACTCTTCCTAGATTCTGTGTACTGTAGGGAAGAACAGACACCATCAAGTATAGACAAGGGAGTGGGGTCAGTGTCAAGGTGGTGATCTGTAGCTCCATCTTCCATTTAAAGGCAGCCAGTTTCCTTCCTCTTTAAATTAGAAGAAATCTTGCCTCCGTCTGTGGTCATCAAGGGTATAGAGGGGGTGCTCCATGATATGGACCCTGAGAACCTAGAGGAGGAATCTGGGAAGAGGATCAGGAGGTGACCTCTGCCCTGCTGAATGTTCCGGACACTCTCTTGGCCGTTGAGCCTGGGTTATTTTACTTTCCTGCTGAGATGGAAACAACTCTGGCTCTGGAGTAGACAGACCTGGGGGTGCAATACCTACTATATTGCTTAGATGAAGAAGTGCCTTTAACTCTCTGAGCCTCAGTGGCTTCATACGTAAAGTAAGAAAAAAGACTATCTTTCAGGATTGCTGTGATGAGTATCACACAGGCTAGGGCCTGACCCATAGAAGGCATTAATGGATACTTAATCTTTTAAAAAACATTACTTGGGCTCAGAAAAGTGAGAGTTAGTGTTGCAGGGGCCAAATCAGGGCTTGGCCTCAGTTGAGATCAACATTTTCCCCTCTGTGAGCCACAGTGTTCATCTATAAAACGACAGCAGCAGCAGTGGCTACCAGCTCTCCTTGGGGTTGTCAGGGGTAAGCCAGAAAGGGTACAAGTAATCTCCTTGCACACCGTGTGGCTCAGGTATGGAAGGGACAATGTAATTTGCTCTCCTGGAGTCCAAGATGTGAATAAGGTCCCCCTGAGAAGCTTGACCCCAATGGCAGCTCCTCAAACTCACGCCTTTCTTCTTTGCAGAATCCTGGCAAGCACCAACGTCTTGATTTTTAGAAGACTCAGCCCAGCTCTCCTACCAAGGGGTGGGATCCAGTGGGCAGAGGAAGCAAGGATGGGGTCCCTGATTCGGTCTCCTGGGTCCGCTCCACCTTTGGGCTTGGTGTCAGAAGGTGTCAGCTGACGGCAACACTCGCTGGTGATAGCGCCTCTTTATACTGAAGGAGGGACTGAGGCCCGGAGAGGGGCGGAGGGACTTAGGTGGCTCCTTCTACCTGAGATCGCTCTTTTCTCCAGTCATGCTATCTTACTACCCTGTTGTATTTTTTTCTTAGTCCTTATCATTCCCTGACGGCACCTGTTTGTTTATTTAGCAGTAAACGAGCTCAGGGCAAGTACTTCCGTACCATACCCTTCCCCACCCCCTCCTGGGACCCACAGAGTGGGCGCTTCACAAACTGTTGTTGGATA